GGTCAACATCTTTTGACTGTCGTCTACAACAGACAGGGCAAACAATGAAATATGTGGAGATAACGAACAGTATTCGAGCTCAAAAGTCCATTAAACACTACAAAATAAGAGCAGAGCAAACACGGACCTCTATAACTTCAGAGGTGGGATCAGGTGCCATGAAGGAGTGAGCATCCCCTGCCGACCGGTCACACCCGCCGTGTGCTCCTTGTCATGATCTGGAAATAACGGAAAAATCCGTCGACAATTCAGTGTGTTAATAATGGCCTAACAAATAGTATGAAAAAAGTCAGTCAGCATTTTACTTAATGATAGATTGTATTTGCTGACAAGGTCATTGTATCGACCATAGAACTTACGAAATGATGACTTTAAACGAGACTGTTGATATTCTTGTTTCATCAACTTGTTTGTCAATAACTTACCTCGTTTTAGAAAATGTTCATACGTAGAGCGTGCTCTGGTGTATCGAATCAACTGAGAGATATAAACCCCGTATGCAGGTGATAAGGGTATTTTGCTGCATAAGTAAAGGAAGTTGAAAAGTTAAAGCCATCACGTTTATCATAATGCTCGGTTGTTAGATTACCATTAAAGTCTTTTTCTGATAAAATATCCAAATATGAAACAGATGTGTCAGACTCTGTGGAATCTTTTATCTTAAGCTCAACGGGATATATCGTGTCAACATAAGAATGGAAATAACCATTGTTAATTGACAATACGTTGTCGATATATCTAAATGTCGAATTGAAGGCCACAGCAAGTGTTTTCTTCTTTTCACTGAAAAGATTTTGAACAAAGTCTGCTTCATATGAATACAAAAATAGGTCTGCTAATAACGGAGCGCAATTGGTACCCATGGGAATTCCAATAAATTGTTGGAAGACCTGATCTCCAAAAACCACATAGATATTGTCAATCAGAAACTCGAGCATCTTTTTAATGTCAACTTCAGAGTACTTGTGTGCACAATCAGAGTGCTTTTTAACAAAATAATTTTGTAAATGACCAATGACAAGGTAAGTAAATTTACGAGTTCCATTTTTATTGAAAAAGCAGCTGTCAACGATGTCAGAAAGTCTGGACTTTAATTTAGCGTGGGGAATAGTTGTATATACAGTTGAAAAGTCGTTTTTATGTTGTTGATTTTGGTAAAATTTTGTGATTTCAAATGTTCCAAAAGTTCCCTGAAATTTTTTAGTATCCACATCTGATTTACACCACTTCTCGAATATATTGTTGCAAGAGACAGCAATGACAGAGATATTGCAATGACAGAGATTCTACTTTTTTGGCAAAGGGGTTTGGCCGAATGTTGCTTTTTTTTTTTTTTTTTTTAATTTATTTGATTTAATTTTGATTTAAAAAGTATACTTTTAGTGAAAAATTATCCCTTGAAAATTCACCATATTCTTTACTTCAATTTTAAATTAAATTATATTTTCAAAGAGTTATGATATTTGAAATCAATCAGAGTCTTGGGATTAAATATTGATGTAGCTTATACTGCTATAGCTGATAAAAGTTACCATAATCTGTTGCCCTAATAAAAGTCGCATTCCTTGATAAATGCGTTCATTAATCAGATTTAATCTGACCTCTAGCAAAGTACCTATCTTTAAATGTACATGTATTACGATATACATGGAAATTGTCCCTTTTAATATCATAGTGTCGTTTAATTATTAATTTCTAATAATTTTAAAATTAGTAAGCGACAATAGCAAGAAATAGGTATGCAGATAGTAAATCAATTCTTTTCTCGAATAAAAAGAACATGTACATATACGAGGGTTAATCAAAAATGTAATATCCTTAAACTGAAATAATTGTAAAATTAAAAAAACAAATGTGTTAATTTTTATACCGCCCTTCACTTCATATACTTGTTCCAGCTATTTGATACCATCCCAGCTCAGCTTGAACTTCAGATATGAAACGTGAAGAAAACGAACAGTAATCAACCTCAAAAGTCCATTGAAACAATACAAATCGGAAGTAGAGCAAATACAGACCTCTAAAAACATCAGAGGTGGGATCAAGTGCCATGGAGGAGTCCCCTGTCGACCGGTCACATCTGCCGTGTACTCCTTGTCATGATCGGGAAAACGGAAAAATCCGTAGACAATTCAATGTGTAGACAATGGCCTAACAATTAGTATGAAAAACGCTAGTTAATGATAGATTGTATTTGCTGACAGAGTCATTGTACTTCACTTTTCGCAAGGTCATAGAATTTGCGAAAAGATGAATTTAAACGAGACTGTTGTGTTTCTGTTTCATCAATTTGTTTGTCAATAGCTTGCCTCGTTTTAGAAATTGTTCGTACGTAGAGCATGCTCTTGCGTATCGAATCAACTGGGAGACATAAATCCAATATGCAGGTGATAAGGGTATATTGCTACATAAGTAAGGGAAGTTGATGGAAAAGTTGAAGTTATTACGTTTATCATAAAGTTTTGTTGTTAGGTTACCATTAACGTCTTTTTCTAATAAAATATCCAAATTTGAGACAGATTTGTCTGATATATCTTTTATTTCAAGTTCACTGGGATATATCGAGTTGACATGCATAAGAATGGAAGTAACTATTGTTAATTGATAATACGTCGTCGATATATCTAAATGTCAAATTGAAAGCCACAGCAAGTGTTTTCTTCTTCTCATGTAGAAGTTTTTGAATATATTCAACATAAATAGGAAAAGTTGACGATAGGAACGTTGAAGTCACGTTTATCATAGAGTCTAGTTGTTAGTTTGCCATCACACTCTTTTTCTAGTAAAACATCCAAATTTGAAACAGATGATGTCTTTTATTTATACATATAGCTCAATGGGATTTATCGAATCATCATATAAATGAAAATGAATATTGTTAATTGATAAAACGTCGTCGATATCTAAACGTCGAACTGAAACCCACAACAAGAATCTTTTTCTTTTCATGTAAATTTTTTGGATAAATTCTTCTTCATAAGAATACCAAATACAGGTCTGCTAATAATGGGCACATGCAGATAACCAGTGACAAGGTATGTTAATTTCCGTGTCCCACTTTTATTGAAGAAACAGTTGTCTATGATAGTCTTTCATAGTCTTTAATTTATCGTGAGAAATGGATTTATAAAGTGTTGAAACTCTTATATTTTATGCTATTGATTTTGGTAAAATTGTGGCGGGCCACAACAGGGGATCAATGTTATACATAGGAATGTATCGGAAATAGGCCTATCTTTAAAAATCTTCTTCTCAAGAATAAAAAATCCATTATTAGTCATATATATATATAATATATATATATATATATATATATATATATATATATATATATATATATATATATATATATATATATATATATATATATGTGTGTGTGTGTGTGTGTGTGTGAGGGTGTGTGTGTGTGTGTAAAAGCAATTGAGTACATTCCCATATAGTTGCCAAAAGAAGCGAGTCAGCTTCGCTGCAATTTTGTAGAACACATTAGCATATAGTTGCAGTGAAAATATCACAAAATTAATCATAACAAACCTTTTAGAGCACTAAATATACCTTCACTCATATAAAGCTAGAAATTCGGATTTGTTCGATCGTATTAGAATTAACTGCCCCTGTTTATTTGCCACATTGTCAGTACAGGGACGAATTCTATCATAAAGCCTTTTTACCACCACCACCACCTCCCCCCCCCCCCCAATTCTGTTCAGCTTTGGATATATTCTCTTTAGAGAAGTGGACAGGCTTCCGCCTTCATCCGTGGAGGAAAGCGAAATTAAGCCTGTCCGCTTCTCTAAAAAGAATACTTTGGATGTGGTGAGTATTATTACACAAATTGATCGTGTCAGCTAAGCAAGCAAGGGAAAGAGTTGAATAATTTCCTTACTTTCACTTCAATAAGCATTGCACTTACAGATGTCATCGTTGTATTGTTGACCAATGACAAGTAATCCATCTCTTGTAGCTTGACGTACGGTGTGTGTGGTCGACGTTTTTGCAGTTCAGTACCTTGATACTGTGGCACCGATAACTGGTCGTCCACTAAGACCTTGGGATTCCTACATACCAATATAAATATTCTGCCATGCTTATCCATGCAGCAGTTTCTCCATTTTGCAGACATTTTCTTGCACAATTACCCGAATGATTTTGGACAGAACAAACCTCTCCGATTAGACCTACCAAAAATTATTGACTCTCAAAAGTCTTTCTACATCGACATGGAGACAACTGTTAGTTCTAATCGTTGTATCGGCCATTCAATCTTGATACTACTAACGCCAGAAGAAGGGATTCATCACGTGAAATTTAGTATAGCGCTCTTTTACTTGAACATGGAAATGAATTAATACCAGTAATTATATTCTCTGTGGGAATAAAACAACATTAAGAGCCCATATTAATCAAAAATAAATTCTGCTAAATGTCTTGCATGTTGTCTGTCAGACATAGTCAGAAAAGATGAAAACTGCAAATGCCCATTTATATTTACTACGTGAGAATATATAGGTTCTCCATTTGAAAAGAAACATTAAAAAGTGGATAATTAGACTGAAAAACAATACATAAAGGAAAATCCATTATTTTTGTATTACCAAGCTAAATGATCTGTAGTATTTTGCCTTCAGAATGCTGGGATGAAAAAAGGACGGATATATCGTTACTTGAATGCAATCTCAGGGCCGTAAATATATGTATGCACTATTGAAGGATTTTGGCATTCATTCATATTCAAGTGTGCAATAAAGGGCTGCATTTCCTGTTGAGGAGTGGAGAACTGAAATCATTCACAAATCCTGAAGTACATCCATACATAGCCCTGTGTCCTTCTATTGCGGACTTCCCCGGGTCAAAGGCAAAAGTAGCATTATGTATTAAAATAAATTATTGTTTGCTCAAAAATGCAGATTATATTTTTTTAAGTTCACAAATCTAATGGATATGCTTTATCGAAGTTGATCTCTAAGCTCGATGTAATCGTGGGAATAGATTTGTTTCCGCATGTATCTGTGCCAAATTTGGTCAGGAAACTTAATTTATTTATATATAAAGGTTTGCTTTCAACCTTGTAGCTGAGATGGGAAGGGATGTCGGCATTCTGGTGGGTAAGTAATTCTTTCGGATTATGCTAGGTAGCGGGGTGGATTCTTAACGTTTACAAGCCTATATTATGCTTAAATATCATAAAATTCAGGATATTGGTGATTTAATTTGAAATATTGCATATTCCATTTTAATAATGCATCGATATGTGATTCGTTTCTTTGATGTACAGGTCTATGCATTTTTTGCCATCTGGCGCAACACTATATGTTTGCAATTCAAACTTTGGAAGTTGAAATTGAGTCAATTTTTTGAGGAATTTTTTTTCTCATTTTTTGGTTGAAATGTGTTGTGAATTAAAGTTATCAAAATTGATCTTGGAAATTGTGCTTTAATTAACTATTAAGATCCTGACCGTGTATCAGTGGCCAACTCAGATCTGTAATGGCTGACCTTACTCCAGCTGACTGGCAAAACATATCAAATGAAGTTTTGTAGGAAATATTGATTTAAATCTATATTTATATTCTATTACGAATTTAACTACAAGTTTTTTTTAATGCATACATTGAGGGCATTAATAAAATAACTTAATAAGAGAATCTTATTTGTTTTATGTTTGAATTTTAAATGTATATTTTGCAGGTTTAGTTGTTGGAATTGCCGTCGTATTGGTGGGGATTGCAGTGGTGGTGGCATGTTCATTTTTCTGCTTCCGGAAATGGAGGTAACACAATAATCACAAACAAATTCAGTTTGTTTCTGTTCAGTCAATCTGATTTATCTCAGATTAATTTCAGATTTATCTCAGATTAATCTCAGATTTATCTCAGATTAATCTCAGATTTATCTCAGATTTATCTCAGCTGTGATGCATCTATATGAGAAGACCTTCCCGAAAACTAAAAGCTTTCTGTCTAAGACGCGTACGCTTTCTGAGATGATTATGTACACATTTTAATGAGCTGAAAATTTAACTTTTTCAGAAAGAAAAAGTTCCCGATCACAATCACCGCTTTTTATCGAACCAGATCGTATGAAGAAGAGGTACCACCGACTCCAAGCAGCATCCAATCAGAATCTGTCTATTCTTTCGCCACGCCCTCTATAGTGACGGAAGGGATTAACCCATCAGATACGATAGAATTTTCTTACGATAAAGCCGAGAGTCCATATATAGAATTACCAGCTGATCCTAACGCAGAAATTAAAGAAAAGACGGAAAAATTTCGTTTCTTAGACCCAAAGCGCTCAAAATCTTGGAAAAGTGGCTGGATAGATCGGGTCACCCATATGATTGAAGCCACTGAAACTTATTCCAGGGCTGCCATTCGTAGATTTTCTGATTTTGTTTCAGATCCTGGTGAAAACTGTGATAGTGAGGGGTTAAACGATAGAAATGAGCAGTCAGAGGGAATGTCAGAAGGACTTGTGGACAATCTGTCAACAGGAAAAGATATCTACGCACGCGTGAAAAAATGACAAAAAGCTACCTTCACTTTAATCGTAGAAGCGCCATTATTTTTACCATATTTTTCTCTCAAGAGAATTCATTACCTGCATGGTTGTTCAGCTGAAAGCACAAATATTTCTGATATGATACATTTCATGTAACATGATATTCTTACGTTGTGTTGTGAGTGTTCGCGTCATTTCTGACACATTTTAGAATTCGTCCTTTATATTTGATTTTCGTTTCATTGCATGGATACATTTTCCCGGTATATCACAGTATAGAATCTAGTTCATAATGATGGAGGAAACAATGGAAGGATATACATTTATTGCTCGTGTCAGTGTCTCCCGAGCTCCTATGTCGGAGTTGTATACATTGTTATGGTTGCAAGTTGAAATGTTTTTTTTGTTGTTTATAATCATAAAATAATGATTAAAGATTAAGATGATAAACGTGTGTATTATTCTGAGTTTTACGTGGATTACTTGATGTACGATATGTTTATTAGGAGGAAATAAAAAGTATCTCTTTGTTCCTGTTTATGTCAAAGTGCAAATTAAACTTCTATAATTAGTACTCATTTAATAGGAAGTGGGCAATCCTTGCCTTACTAATTTCAATGTATTACATTTGAAAAATTGCTTGAATTAATTGAGACCAGTAGTCCACAGAAATGATCGCTAGTGTCAATAGGAAAACAAGCAGCAATGGGTAAAACTGGGCCTTATCCCAGTAAGCTTAACTCCTAAACAATAATTAATTAAATTTAAACTGCTGACATTTTATTTCATTTTTTAGGTATTATAGGTATTTTCCTTTGATAAATGTAAAACAAAATATACCCTAATCTCATACACGAGTCATATAGTAAAGAAACTTAACTGTAGTTTTTCTTTTTCACCCTAATTGAACGACTATATCTTCTTGTTAGGGCAAGCATTAGGAAATACTAGAAATATAATAACGTTGGGTACTTTTAGCCCTGTACCCACTGAACCATGCCCAAGGAACATGTTCAAAACGTGAAGCAGTCTCAGACTTCAGTCAAAATTTCAGTAATGCATAAAATGAAATATCGAGATAACGAACAGTATTCAAGCTCAACGTCCATTTAGACAATACAAATCAGGAGCAGAGCAAACACGGACCTCCAAAAACATCAAAGGTGGGATCAGGTGCCATGGAGGAGTGAGCATCCCCTGCCGACCGGTCACATATCACTAATATTTTTTATTACTAACTCTTGAAAATTTCTTTTCTGTGTTTTCTACAACAGGGAGAAGATAACGAACAAAGGTCAATCTCATAAATCAAGTAAACAAAACTAATCGTGAACAGGGTATAACACGGACTTCTGGAAACACGAGAGGTGGTCAATCTCATAAATCAAGTAAACAAAACTAATCGTGAACAGGGTATAACACGGACTTCTGGAAACACGAGAGGTGGGATCAGCTAAGTACTTAGGAAGAGTAAGCATCACCTGTCGTCTCACACTCGCCATGAGGCCTCAATATTGATAAAGTTAACGGAGAAATCAGTAGCCAAAATTGTATAAAACATTGGCCTAACAATTGGTAGGAAACATGTCGGTCAAAATACGATCCAACAATAGGTTGTATTTGCAAACGAGGTCATTATAACGACCGTAGAATTTGCGAATTGTGTTGCTAAAAAGCTTTAAATTGATAATAAATGTAGATCAAATAAAACATATAAAGCACAAATTATTCTTGGCATCTATCATATACATCACCTATGCAAGTTTGTCAATGGACTTGCATTCATATATGTTTGTTTGTTTGTTTGTATGTTGTTTAACGTCCCTCTCGAGAATTTTTCACTCATATGGAGACGCCACCACTTGCCGGTGGAGAGCTGCAAATTTTGTCCTTTACTCGGCACTTACGGCCATTGAGCTGTGAGGGATCTTTTTCGTGCCAGCACCTACTGCGACACGGGACCTCGGTTTATACGGTTTCATCCGAATGACCGGTCTCCACGTCCCACAATGGGATTCGAACCCGCGACGTAAGGATCAGCTCCTTACTCCGCGACTCTAGAGCGAACGCTCTAACCACTGCGCCACGCGGGCGGCCATTCATATATGAGATGAATCTGTTTTAACCTGATAACTCATCTGGAAAACACAGGATACATGCGCCATCCTAAGGAAGGTATACTCTCTTCTTCATGTATGATTATAGTTGATATAAAGCATATTCACATGAAAAACACACCGTTTTAAAAGATCTTATATGAGATTATATTCAGAAGGTACAGGTCACATACAGCATCCTAAGCATTTTTGAAAGTCTACATTCAAAATGCTAAATCTATGCAAGTTTGAAAGCAATACTTGCGGTCTCCTTTCAATCTGATTAAAATCAGATCGTCGTTGCTCCTTTTTAACGATATGTCGCTTGTAAACGAGGCATATCGTCAAAAAGGAGCAACGAGGATCTGATTTTAATCAGACTGGATCGCCTTTTAATATACTTTCTCCAGTATGTTTAAACGAGAGTATCTTAAGTGTTCAAAAAATATGTCTCACACAGCGTTCATAGCTTGATTAATAGCTTTCATCCTTTGTTTACCATCCAAATTTATTTCGCGTAGCAGTTGATATAAAAAAAAAAATGGAGCCGGATAGACCCTCCCAAACTCTCTCTCTCTCTCTCTCCAGATAACATCTGCGGCAAAGCACTGAAAGTTTTGCTCATCACATAATGGAACCGTGGTGACTAGGTTAATATGATTGTGAAAAGAGCATCTTTAAAAACTCCATGTGATGATAAGATTATCATAGAAAAAAATGATAACGATCACATCCGATTTATAATTGTATGTACAAGGGTCGGTCTGTTGAATTTGGTGCCATGACCAGGATAGGAAATAAAAAAACAAACAAATAAAAACAAAATGTTCAAAAAACAAAAAACAAAAAAAAAAGAAGAAGAAGAAAACAAACAAGCAAACAAAAACAAGAAATCTATCGGAAAATGAGACTGGATCGGTGTCTTTTATTTATTGAAACGTATGACAATATTACCGAGACTATATTCATCAGTATTACAAAATCTTATTCATTTATCACACCAACATGATACAGGCCCGTAGGAAGCAATTTCAGTTTGGGGGGGGGGGCACAGCCATACATTTTCAGCTAAGGGGGCACTACCAAAAATTTCCCGACAAACAAAAAAAAAAAAAAAAAAAAAAAGAGAGAGAGAGAAAAAAGGTCATCAGACGTTTTTTTTTTTTTTTTTTGAGGGGGCACAAGCCTATAGTAATCTATATATCGGCAAAATTATTGGGGGCACGCCCCCCGTGCCCCCCCCCCCCTCCCCCCCGGTTCCTACGGCCATGTGATAAGCTATCTGAATAAAATCTATATCAGATGGTTGGCTTCCAAAAAAGTGTTAGAGAAAATCGAATGACATCGAAGGTCCAAGAGAGGAAAAAAATGAAATATATATTCAATTTTTTCCCCCTCGCCAAAAGAAGTACACGAATAACAATATGAACGCATTATTAAAAACGAAAAACCGGAAGTTTGCGGTCATGGCGGCAAATAAAGTAAAGCTGATTAAGATTTTATTACTTTTCTCCAAATATTTAATACACTCTGAATTTATCTTTTCTGATAAATGTTAAGATTGATATTAAACAAGTATACAATCTTTAGAATAAGCTGTCATAAAATACTTTTTTACAAAAAAGATGATTTTAGCGTTTTTGATATACCGTCTGCGATGTTGGGTACAACTGTTTTCATTTGCAGGAAGCTATAGCGATTGTGCTGGACATTGGTCCATCTATGAATAATGCACCCCCGGGTGAGGAGACACCATTGCAGACAGCGGTTGATGCCATCAAGATGATACTGCAGAGGAAGGTAATCTTAGTGTTTTTGTAAACATATCCTCGTGTGCCCATATTTCGTCAATGAATCGTCAGTCTATCAGGTGTAGGCGGCCTCTGTTTTTGGAGGATAGATTTTATCCTCCAAAATCAGAGGATAGCAGTCTCGCCACCTGTTTGCATTTTCAAAACAAAGGGCAGTAAACTCTTCAGGAAACAAAGAACACTAACTCTTGATATATGAACCATACGCTGATTTCTCAATCAAAACAAATAAAAAATATATCTTAATGCATGAAAAAATCTAGATAATGGATCAATTTTACGGTATTTGTGTAATTGCCTTCACTTATTAATCAGTTTACAGCTTCAACAACAATTACTCTTACCTGCCTGTGAGGTTTATTATAAGCGCTGATTTTTTCCATACAGTAATTATGTGATAATTAAGCTAACGGTTTAGAAATTTTGATTAATAAACTTTTTTTTTCTTTCAAAAAATCAAGTTTATGTTTATTTATTATTCCATTCATTTAATTATCATACGCCAATTATTCAATAATTTCTTTATTTATATAATTATATGTATGAAAATTTCCCATTAAACATGTTAAATTATTATTTTATTTATGCTATTAAATTATTTTTTTATTCCTTTATTTTTTTTTTTCTATTTATAATGATTCATTCATTCCTTGTTTTATTTGCTTATTTTATAAGGCAGGGTATTTTGCGTTTACATGCTTTTTCTTCTGACATGTGTTTCTTTTTTTTCTCCTTTATAACATTTAAAAAAAATATATGTTAAGTAACTTTTAAAAGTACCCTGTTTTGTCTCAATTAAAAAAATCATCAAAATATAGTACAAAAGAAGAAGAAATATTTAGTAAAAAGGGAGTTCTAACTTTGAAAATAAATTGATAAAGACCGAGACATAGAATCTCAAATTGCCACATACAATCAATAGTTTAATGTTTGAACTTTTATTTGCATACTGTAAACCAACTATTATATAAACCATCTTTTATTTGCGATTTGTCATTTTAAAATCAATCCGCGACGATTAATTTCCGGGACTCAGGAAACATTATCTACAAATACAAAGCAAAATAAATGGTTCGTGGAGATTTAATATTCACGAGAAAATGTAGGTCGTGAAACTGGCGAATTTTTCTCTCTCGTGAATAAAAGTTGGTTTACAGTACAGTCAAACCTGTATTAAGCAGTCACCTGCGGGAATCATTAAAAGTGACCTTTATATAGAGGTGACCTTTGAATGGAGGTTCATCTTTTTCAAGAAAAATTCGTCTCCAATTTATGTAAGTTCTGTGTTTTACAATACTACATCATAGAATATTAAAGGAAGATGTTTATAAGACATCAATGGTCTCACTAACATTTTATTTTTTTTTTTTTATAAATTTTAAATAGTATGTCTCAAGATTAAGTTCAAGCTAAATTTGATGACTCCAACAAAAATATATTGAGTCTAATAGGGCAGTGCATTATCCTCCGTCCAAACAACTACAAAACTTTCTATTATTATAAGAAATTATCATGTAATGTCATAAATTAAATAGGATGTATCTTTATCTAAACTGCATCTAAAAAAAACGTTTAGTTACGTATTAAACTTAAAAATTGTATGGTTAAAAATACATAAATCATTGCATAATAAACAGACAAGTCATATGTACTCTCAGTTGATCCAAGCAGTGCACAATACAAATCAAAATATCACTCACCAGTTTGAAGGATATTTTGATTGGATGTAAGTGATGGGATGGCAAGTCTACCATAGAACAATTTGGTTACATTGATAAGCATGTTGTCACAAGAAAACAGGATAATGATATGTCAAAATATGGAACCTGTTGATTTTAGGACAGAAAGACATACGCATATGGTTTTGATTTCTTTCAAACAAAATGGTAGTACACTACAGTACATGTTTACTGATTTTGTGTGTAGTTTCATTGTGAATGTGATATTGGGTATACTTTTGACGTCTTTTGTTATAGGTTGTCCACAAGATGCCTTGAACTTACAACTCACATTTAAAATCTGATGCTCTACCCACTAAGCTAAAGAGTTATCCCACTATCTAATTCAAGTAGTAGCATGGCCTCTCTATTTACCAAAGCCACTGTTTACCCTTCTTTATCTTGGAGATTTCATGCCTAATCCCCTCTTGATAAGTGGGTTTTTATAGATGAGCACAGAGATGACTGATTAGTCGGGGATGTCCACAATCTGGCTTCAGCCTACTCAGATTTAAAATCTAGTGCTCTATCATCTGAGCTGAAGGATGAATCACTAGCTAGCACTGGTAGGAATGTGGCCTACCTACATGCTATAGTCACTCTGAAATACTAATATAACATAAAAATACTGCATTGTATTCATTTTCAAAATTAAAAAAAAAAGTATGTTTTTTTCTTTCTTATTTTTTTTCAAATTGTTTATGCAGTGCTTGCTCCAAAACCAAACAAAAATGCATGTTGTACATTCCTGTTTTTGTAGTTTTTTCTGGTATTTATATTCATAGCTGTTAGACATTGTTGCTTATTAAACGTATTTATAATTTCTACAAGAAAATCAAGTTAATTGTAGGTATATTGTCTTAAATATCTTGTTTTAGATGTTCTCAGAGTCCAAAGATGAAGTCAGTCTGGTTTTGTTTGGCACACCAACAACTGATAACCCTCTGGCTGATGGTGAAAGCTACGAAAATATCAGCATTGTACGACCCCTCGGAGTAGTTGACTTTGATTTCCTTCAACAGGTCCAGAATGACATAACGCCTAGCAATATGTCTGCCGATTGTATCTTTTTGTTGACAACACTTGTGCTAAAATGAAATACAGATGAGATGTATTTGGCATTGAATATGATCAATTATTAAAAATGTAGGAGAAAATTCTGTAAAGAGTAACGTGTAAGACATTTATTTTCCCTTAATTTTTGTTCAGTTATAGATGCGCTAGTGGTTGCCATGGATCATCTGGTGAATGCGACCCAGTACGTCAATATTAAACTCACAATGATAACTTCTTGTATTCATTATAAACTATTTAATTCAATCTGAAAAAGATATGATTTTTTGTGTCTCCATTATTGCATTTTAGACACATAGTGATCACTCGGTCTGTCTATCTGTCTGCCTGACAGGAGTCACACTGTATTATAAAAAGTCATCTGCAGGCATTCTCTGTGAATAGTTTGATGTTGCTATATGTACATAACAGGGTTGCAACTATTCACTTGCCCACTAGCAAATGCTAAATCTCACTGACAAATCTAATAAAAAATACTGAGAGACAATAATATGGATAAACAGGTCTGTTATACAGAGAATTCCTTATGCAGTATGTAAAACATTTAAATCACATCTGGTACATCATGAATTACATGTAGAAGAAGTTTCAAACTATTTCAGAGGGAAAAAGGGTTTTGGATCTAAGCGACTAATACTGCTGTCAGACTTGGGAGGAGAATTTGGTAAAGATCAGATTGATACAATTATCGCTGGGATCAAGAATTCAGGAACAGAACTGAATGTCATGTAAGTGTCTTAAGAAATTTGAATATGAGCAGGAATTTGGATTTTCAAAGAAGAGCGCTATTTATTGATCTAATGAACCTTACAAATGTATCAAGATGTTTGTGTTAACTGTATTATGTTAGCATTTAAAGAGGTTAATTTTTTGTCGATACAGAAGGCCTGATGTAGATGTAGCACTAACTTTAAGTATTTACAAATTCAGTGATACTGTATTTATTGATACCAGTGACCTGATATAGATATACTGGACATTAACAGAGGGCCTGATATAGATATTGACTATTTACAGAGGGTCTGATATAGATATTGACTATTTACAGAGGGCCTGATATATATTTGCAACTATTTACAGGTGGCCTGATATAGATATTGACTATTTACAGAGGGCCTGATATAGATATATTGGACATTTACAAAGGGCTGATATAGATATTGACTATTTACAGAGGGCTTGCTCTAGATATTGACTATTTACAGAGGGCCTGCTCTAGATATTGACTATCTACAGAGGGTCTGCTATAGATATTGACTATTTACAGAGGGCCTGCTCTAGATTGAGTATTTACAGAGGGCCTGCTCTAGATATTGACTATTTACAGAGGGCCTGCTCTAGATATTGACTATTTACAGAGGGTCTGATATAGATATTGACTATTTACAGAGGGTCTGATATAGATATTGACTATTTACAGAGGGCCTGCTGTAGATATTGACTATTTACAGAGGGCCTGATATAGATATTGACTATTTAAAGGGGGCCTGCTTTAGATATTGACTATTTACAGAGGGCCTGCTGTAGATATTGACTTTTTACAGAGGGCCTGCTCTAGATATTGACTATTTACAGAGGGCCTGATATAGATACTGACTATTTACAGAGGGTCTGATATAGATATTGACTATTTACAGAGGGCCTGATATAGATATTGACTATTTACAGAGGGTCTGATATAGATATTGACTATCTACAGAGGGCCTGCTGTAGATATTGACTATTTACAGAGGGCCTGATATAGATATTGACTATTTACAGGGGGCCTGCTTTAGATATTGACTATTTACAGAGGGCCTGCTGTAGATATTGACTATTTACAGGGGGCCTGCTCTAGATATTGACTATTTACAGAGGGCCTGATATAGATACTGACTATTTACAGAGGGTCTGATATAGATATTGACTATTTACAGAGGGCCTGATATAGATATTGATTATTTACAGAGGGTCTGATATAGATATTGACTATCTACAGAGGGCCTGCTGTAGATACTGACTATTTACAGAGGGCCTGCTCTAGATATTGACTATTTACAGAGAGGCCTGCTCTAGATATTGACTATTTACAGAGGGTGTGATATAGATATTGACTTTTTACAGAGGGTCTGATATAGATATTGACTATCTACAGAGGGCCTGCAGTAGATATTGACTATTTACAGAGGGCCTGCTCTAGATATTGACTATTTACAGAGGGCTCGCTCTAGATATTGACTATTTACAGATGGTCTGATATAGATATTGACTATCTACAGAGGGCCTGCTGTAGATATTGACTATTTACAGAGGGCCTGCTCTAGATATTGACTATTCAGAGGGCCTGCTCTAGATATTGACTTTTTACAGAGGGCCTGATATAGATACTGACTATTTACAGAGGGTCTGATGAAGATATTGACTATTTACGGAGGGCTTGCTCTAGATATTGACTATTTACAGAGGGCCTACTCTAGATATTGACTATTTACAGAGGGTCTGATATAGATATTGACTATTTACAGAGGGCCTGATATAGATATTGACTATTTACAGAGTGCCTGATATAGATACTGACTAAGGGTGCAACGATAAACCGTTTGACGGTATATCGCGGTATATTTTTCCACGGTTCAATTCACGATATGCTTAACTGATATCGCGGTTCGGTTCAATCGGTCCAGAATTATCCCTTCTGTCCGTTTTATTTCCTTCATTACTATTTCAAAATGGCTTCCGAGCAAAACGTGAGGTCGCCTATAACGCATTTACGGCAGTTAAACTCATCTCCAGCATATTACATACCTCAGATTTAACACGGAGAAGGACTTAATGTGATTATAAGTTATAGATGTTAAGACAAATGCTAAACCCTTTAGATCTAAACGTATTCTTTGGTAATACACGATATTTCATCACGTGTGTATTTCGATGAAAATTCGCTGTCTTTTTGACTAAAACATATTAACATGAGAGATATGACAACTGGTTTTCTACGTAAATAAAAGGAATAAAAGAATGAATGTCTTCCTTTTTCATTCCAATTTAAAAGGAAGATTATTAGGAATGATCCCCGTAGTTCACTGTAAATGTTCATCATTGGTTTAGAATGTTATCACAACTCAAAGATCTACCTAACAAGCCAATTCAATTTATCAAAATGTAATTTTAATTATTATTTAAAAATATAAACATTTTGTATAACCCTGTCAAGTTTAAAAAAAATATGATGACAAACTTGAAAGACTTTTTAACCTTGTCATGTATCATGATATGTATCGTATCGTGATCTGAATACCGTGATACGTATCGTATCTTGAGGTTAGTGTATCGTTGCACCCCTAATACTGACTATTTACAGAGGGTCTGATATAGATATTGACTATTTACAGAGGGCCTGATTTAGATATTGATTTATTTACAGAGAGCCTGATATAGATATTGACTATTTACAGAGGGTCTGATTTAGATATTGATTTATTTACAGCCTGATATAGATATTGACTATTTACAGAGGGTCTGATATACATATTGACTATCTACAGAGGGCCTGATATAGATATTGACTATCTACAGAGGACCTGATATAGATATTGACTATTTATAGAGGACCTGATATAGATGATGTAGATATTGACTATTTACAGAGGGCCTGATATAGATGATGTAGATATTGACTATTTACAGAGGGCCTGATATAGATGATGTAGATATTGACTATTTACAGAGGGGCTGATATAGATATTCACTATTTACAGAGAGGCTGATATAGATATTGACTATTTATAGAGGACCTGATATAGATGATGTAGATATTGACTATTTACAGAGGGCCTGATATAGATGATGTAGATATTGACTATTTACAGAGGGGCTGATATAGATATTCACTATTTACAGAGAGGCTGATATAGATATTGACTATTTGCAGAGGGCCTGATATTGATATTGACTATTTACAGAGGACCTGATATAGATATTGACTATTTACAGAGGGTCTGATATAGATATTGACTATTTACAGAGGGCCTGATATAGATATTGACTATTTACAGAGGGCCTGATATAGATGATGATGACCTTATATAGATATTGACTATTTACAGAGGGCCTGATATAGATATTGACTATTTACAGAGGGCCTGATATAGATATTGATGACCTTATATTAGATATTGACTATTTACAGAGGGCCTGATATAGATATTGATGGCCTGATATAGATATTGACTATTTACAGAGGGCCTGATATAGATATTGATGACCTTATATTAGATATTGACTATTTACAGAGGGCCTAATCTAGATATTGATGACCTTATATTAGATATTGACTATTTACAGAGAGCCTGATATAGATATTGATGACCTTATATTAGATATTGACTATTTACAGAGGGCCTTATATAGATATTGATGACCATATATTAGATATTGACTATTTACAGAGAGCCTGATATAGATATTGATGACCTTATATTAGATATTGACTATTTACAGAGGGCCTGATCTAGATATTGATGACCTTATATTAGATATTGACTATTTACAGAGGGCGTGATATAGATATTGATGACCATATATTAGATATTGACTATTTACAGAGGGCTTGATATAGATATTGATGACCTTATATTAGATATTGACTATTTACAGAGGACCTGATATAGATGATGATGAAGATGATGACAGTGAGAAACCTGGACCTAGTGGCGCGGCCAATGGTCATCAGAAAGCCAAGACTCGTCAGCAGCGGGAGGGGGAGGCCATGCTGAGACGGATCCTAGAGGAGGTGGAGGGGGAGTGCTACAACTTCAGGTACAAGGTTAATCAACAGCAAATAATAAAAAAAAAAAACAAGTATTATTTTAAGTAGAAGTATATTGCTCTAACTTAGCAATTCACTTTCAAACTGCACACTGAAGTTTTAAAAAATGGAAATATAAATGAAGAATTCTATATGAGGAAAGAGTGGTTTAGAGAGTTATGGGTTAAACTAGGACATATTTGCATTGAAATAAATAAAAAAAAGTATTAGAAAAGGAGAAAAAGTTAATTTTATTGCAATTATTGTAAAAATTTATGTGTATATAGTTGAAAATACAGATTTAATGACATTTGAAGTCATTCTGTTAAATTTCATGAAACAGTATTATAAAAGATGGAATCTCTTTGTTTTACTTATTATGTGCATTTGCTAGTGCATCTACAGTGTAGAAATTGCCCACATTGGATTCAGCCCTTTGGATGATTCCATTGAATTTTTTGCAGTGAGGCACTGCCAGCTTTGAGCTACTTCCAAATGAGACAAGTCCGGCCCACTCCATGGAAAGTCCAGCTGGAGGTCACCTCTGATGTCAAGATACCTGTCTGTTCATATATCAAGGTAAACTAGGTCAAATACTTGTCTTTTCAAATATCAATGTAATCTAGGTCAAATATATCAAAGTAAACTAGGTCAAATACCTGTCTGTTCATATATCAAGTCAAACTAAGTCAAATACCTGACTGTTTATACATGTACTGTATATCAATGTAAACTAGGTCAAATACCTGTCTGTTCAAATATCAATGTAAACTAGGTCAAATATATCAAAGTAAACTTGGTCAAATAGCTGTTGGTTCATTTATCAAGGTAAACTAGGTCAAAACCTGTCTTCAAATATCAATATTAACTAGGTCAAATATTTTAAGGTCAACTGGGTTAAATATCTGTCTCTTCATAAATCAGAAGACTTGGCCAAATACATTTCTCTTTATGTTTCAAGGTAAACTAGGTCCAATCCATTTTTCAGTTCATATATCTGAGGTAAACTAGGTCAAAACCTGTCTGTTCAAATATCAATATAAACTAGGTCAAATACTTGCCCTTTGTATTTCAAAGTAAACTAGGTTCAATACTTGTTGGTTCATATATCAAGGTAAACTGCATCAAGAAACCAGTATTCATATATCAAATGAAAGTAAACTTGGTCATATACTTAAATCTGTCTGTTTATGTATTTTAAACCCATCTGTGTATTATTCAGTTTTACTGTTAATTTCACACAATAACATATTTAAAGAAAACAGTTTTAAAAAGAACTGTCTCTTCATATATCAAATAAATTACATCAAGAAACCCATCTATAGTAAATTTCATAAAATACCTATCTGTTCACACGTCATCAAATATCTGTTAATCTTATTCACATTTGTATTTAATGTGAAATTGAAGGTTAATGAATGCAACAAGGTGCTTCAGAATGAAGATAAACAACACATAGGAAGAGAAATGTCTAAAATAATATAAGAAAATGATATTTTCTTCAAGATATATTTTGATACTAAAAACATTGAATGCAGTATTATATCTAATATCCTGTGATGTATGGCAGATAAAGGACTTCAAAGTGAAGAGCTTTAAGAAGGTGTACGCCAAGGATGAGGATGCTGCAATAGACACACTGAGAACATACCACAAAAATGACGAGGAAGAAACAGAGGTGGAGAAGGAGGACATTGTGGAAGGTCAGTCTAGGTTATTATAAACAGAGATGGAGAAGGAGGACATTGTAGAAGGTCAGTCTAGGTTATTATAAACAGAGGTGGAGAAGGAGGACATTGTAGAAGGTCAGTCCAGGCTATTATAAACATAGGTGGAGAAGAAAGACATTGTAGAAGGTCAGTCTAGGTTATTATAAACAAAGGTGGAGAAGAAGGAGGACATTGTGGAAGGTCAGTCTAGGTTATTATAAACAGAGGTGGAGAAGGAGGACATTGTAGAAGGTCAGTCTAGGTTATTATAAACAGAGGTGGAGAAGGAGGACATTGTAGAAGGTCAGTCTAGGTTATTATAAACAAAGGTGGAGAAGAAGGAGGACATTGTAGAAGGTCAGTCTAGGTTATTATAAACAGAGGTGGAGAAGGAGGACATTGTAGAAGGTCAGTCTAGGTTATTATAAACAGAGGTGGAGAAGGAGGACATTGTAGAAGGTCAGTCTAGGTTATTATAAACAAAGGTGGAGAAGAAGGAGGACATTGTAGAAGGTCAGTCTAGGTTATTATAAACAGAGGTGGAGAAGGAGGACATTGTAGAAGGTCAGTCTAGGTTATTATAAACAGAGGTGGAGAAGGAGGACATTGTGGAAGGTCAGTCTAGGTTATTATAAACAGAGGTGGAGAAGAAGGAGGACATTGTGGAAGGTCAGTCTAGGTTATTATAAACAGAGGTGGAGAAGGAGGACATTGTGGAAGGTCAGTCTAGGTTATTATAAACAGAGGTGGAGAAGGAGGACATTGTGGAAGGTCAGTCTAGGTTATTATAAACAGAGGTGGAGAAGAAGGAGGACATTGTGGAAGGTCAGTCTAGGTTATTATAAACAGAGGTGGAGAAGGAGGACATTGTAGAAGGTCAGTCTAGGTTATTATAAACAAAGGTGGAGAAGAAGGAGGACATTGTGGAAGGTCAGTCTAGGTTATTATAAACAGAGGTGGAGAAGGAGGACATTGTAGAAGGTCAGTCTAGGTTATTATAAACAGAGGTGGAGAAGGAGGACATTGTGGAAGGTCAGTCTAGGTTATTATAAACAAAGGTGGAGAAGAAGGAGGACATTGTGGAAGGTCAGTCTAGGTTATTATAAACAGAGGTGGAGAAGAAGGAGGACATTGTGGAAGGTCAGTCTAGGTTATTATAAACAGAGGTGGAGAAGGAGGACATTGTAGAAGGTCAGTCTAGGTTATTATAAACAAAGGTGGAGAAGAAGGAGGACATTGTGGAAGGTCAGTCTAGGTTATTATAAACAGAGGTGGAGAAGGAGGACATTGTAGAAGGTCAGTCTAGGTTATTATAAACAGAGGTGGAGAAGGAGGACATTGTGGAAGGTCAGTCTAGGTTATTATAAACAGAGGTGGAGAAGGAGGACATTGTGGAAGGTCAGTCTAGGTTATTATAAACAGAGGTGGAGAAGGAGGACATTGTGGAAGGTCAGTCTAGGTTATTATAAACAGAGGTGGAGAAGGAGGACATTGTAGAAGGTCAGTCTAGGTTATTATAAACAGAGGTGGAGAAGGAGGACATTGTGGAAGGTCAGTCTAGGTTATTATAAACAGAGGTGGAGAAGGAGGACATTGTAGAAGGTCAGTCTAGGTTATTATAAACAAAGGTGGAGAAGAAGGAGGACATTGTGGAAGGTCAGTCTAGGTTATTATAAACAGAGGTGGAGAAGGAGGACATTGTAGAAGGTCAGTCTAGGTTATTATAAACAGAGGTGGAGAAGGAGGACATTGTGGAAGGTCAGTCTAGGTTATTATAAACAAAGGTGGAGAAGAAGGAGGACATTGTGGAAGGTCAGTCTAGGTTATTATAAACAGAGGTGGAGAAGGAGGACATTGTGGAAGGTCAGTCTAGGTTATTATAAACAGAGGTGGAGAAGGAGGACATTGTAGAAGGTCAGTCTAGGTTATTATAAACAGAGGTGGAGAAGGAGGACATTGTGGAAGGTCAGTCTAGGTTATTATAAACAGAGGTGGAGAAGGAGGACATTGTGGAAGGTCAGTCTAGGTTATTATAAACAGAGGTGGAGAAGGAGGACATTGTGGAAGGTCAGTCTAGGTTATTATAAACAGAGGTGGAGAAGGAGGACATTGTAGAAGGTCAGTCTAGGTTATTATAAACAGAGGTGGAGAAGGAAGACATTGTAGAATGTCAGTCTAGGTTATTATAAACAGAGGTGGAGAAGGAAGGCATTGTGGAAGGTCAGTCTAGGTTATTATAAATGTTAAAATGTTAGATATCGATGCTCCAGTTTAAGTTTGTACATAGTAAAGTTGGTGATTTATGTATGGGAGATTTGAATTAATTTGAGTAGTTGGGTCAATCAATATGTTGTACTCACACTTCTCACATAATAATGTAATATACGTGTAGATAAATGTTAAATTAATCTCTCTCAGGTCACAGGTATGGGACGACACTGGTTCCAATGTCAGAGGATGACAAACTTAACATGAAGTACAAGGCAGAAAAGTGCCTCAAGACCCTTGGTTTTACTAAGGCAGAAAATGTAAGAAATTTATGCGCTTTGCACTACAGTATACACCTGTATTAGTTTTTCCTTTGTGTAGTGACATACCTATACATGTATATTACAGATAACAGTATACACCTGTATTAGTTTTTCCTTTGTGTAGTGACATACCTGTACATGTATATTACAGATAACAGTATACACCTGTATTAGTTTTTCCTTTGTGTAGTGACATACCTGTACATGTATATTACAGATAACATTATATATCTGTATTAGTTTTTCCTTTGTGTAGTGACATACCTGTACATGTATATTACAGATAACAGTATATACCTGTATTAGTTTTTCCTTTGTGTAGTGACATACCTGTACATGTATATTACAGATAACATTCTTTTGACAGATTAAAAGACATCATTTCATGGGAGACAATACACATTATGTAGTGGCTGACAAAGATGATGAGGTAAGATTCAGATCTGTTAATATGATGCTATGACAACCTCTAACTAATTGTGAATATAATGTTAAGAAGGTGGCCATCAAGGCCCATATGAAGTATTTCTTTTATTTCATAAATAATTTATACTTATTTAGGTCACTGTTGTAGCTCTGTCAGCCCTAATTAATATATTGATAATTTTGTACTTTAGGCTGCTGTTGTGGCCCTTTCAGCCCTAATTAATGCATTGTATGAAACCAATATGGCTATCATCGTCAGAAAAGTGTATAGTGCTGCCACGGCCCCTAAACTGGGGTGCCTGATGCCCCATATAAAGTCATCATATGAGGTAAGGAAGGACTAACCCTCTCAGAGTCAGATTTATAGAAGGGGCATAAGCCCTAAATACCTCGCACTTAAAACATGTAGGACTCTAGTAAGAATAGAGCATTTATTGTACATTTACTTTAAATCTGAATTCTGTAAAAGAATTTTAAATGGGTAATCTTAATCATTTGGTCCCATTTTATCTGCATGCTTTATTTACTGTAAATCACTTTTTATTTGTGAGAACTTTATTTTCGTGTAATTACGTGAGACAGTGTGCTTGTGAAAATTTCATTCTTGCGTATATTAGTATTTTAAAAGATTATATAGAGCAATAACCACAATACGTGAAATTTTTTTCTCACTGATAAAGAGTAAAATGAGTATCTCACGTAAATAACGTGTGGCGAAAATTTGGTGATATCAGTGGTAATTGAAAAACTAATAAAAATGATAGTTTTGAAATATGTTGTTTTTCTTTGTTTAGTGCCTGATTTATGTAGAACTTCTAATATGTTGTTTTCTTTGTTCAGTGCCTGATTTATGTAGAACTGCCTTTTATGGAGGACATCAGACAATACACATTTGGTTCACTGCCGCTGAAAGAGGAAACACAAGCAAACAAAAAGTACAAACCCACAGGTAAATAAAGCAGTACAGACCCAGAGGTAAACATGCATTCTACGAGTATTGCATAAGCACTACTAATCCCCTACCAGCAAGTGTAATCTGGTTCCCATTAAAAAAGGCTATTGTTCTGTCAAAACATCATGGAAGCAGAACAAAATGCAAAGTTGATCTATAGCTCATCAAGAAATAGACCCACATACCAAGAAGCAGCTTAATATCTGCACGTGTTTAGGAAAAAAGTGTAAAAAACTAAGTGGGGAAAAATGGCTCCCTTCAAAATTCAAAAAGGCCATAATTCCTTCAAAATCATCCAAGCAAAATGAAATGTAAACTTAATCTGTAATTTAATCAAGATAAACTCATGTAACAAAAATCAGCTCAATATCTGCAAGCATTTAGGAAAAAATGGGAGGAAACCCTTAAAAATTAAAAAGGCCATAATTCTGTCAAAAATCATTGAAGCGGAGCAAAATTCAAACTTGATCTGTAACTTATCAAGATGTATTCACATAATGTAAAAATGCAAATTGGAAAAATGTATGTGTGTACACATGTCTTTGTGTTGTTTAATATTTCAGATGCACAACTAGATGCCATAAATGAGTTAATTAATGAAACAGATCTCTCACAGGCTGCAGAGTAAGTGTAGATTTCTAGGACTTTATTCTTGTTCTCTAACAGAATGCCATAAAAATACCTCTGTGTGGAATGGTAAAATTCACAGTCATTAAATGATTCTAATGTAATCAAGTTATGTGGATACAACAGGTGCTTGTTCTGCTGTAGAATGTAAGGACAGGATCTCTGTCAATTAAGGTTTTACTTTCCTCTGAGGAAGTTTAAAGTGGTCATGTCATAAACCATGTGAACGGAATCTCATCAACAGTGTGGCATGAAGTAGGAAACTGTCTTTGCTTTACTGTAATCAGTAGCACAGGCCATGATTGATATAGATCTGCACATACAGAGAATGACTCAAAGTACAAGTAAAGTATTCAAGTGATGCATCTAGTACATAAACATACATTGTATCTATAACAACCAGGAAACATCTGTCTCTCAGAAATGTTTTACAAAACTAACAGAAAGTAGAATTGCATCAGGGAGTACATGTACCTGGTATGTAAATGTAATCACTTTTTATGGTTCATTTTATTTTTTCAGAGATGAAGATGGAGAAAAAACAGAAGCATTAAAACCCAAATTGATATTTAATCCTTATTTTCAAAGACTTTATCAGGTATTAAGTGAATGTAAGAAAAATTTACAGATTAAAAATACAATAATGACAGCAGTGAACATAAATAGATGTTAGTCCTATAACAATAATGACAGCAGTGAACATAAATAGATGTTAATCCTATAACAATAATGACAGCAGTGAACATAAATAGATGTTAGTCCTATAACAATAATGACAGCAGTGAACATAAATAGATGTTAGTCCTATAACAATAATGACAGCAGTGAACATAAATAGATGTTAATCCTATAACAATAATGACAGCAGTGAACATAAATAGATGTTAATCCTATAACAATAATGACAGCAGTGAACATAAATAGATGTTAATCCTATAACAATAATGACAGCAGTGAACATAAATAGATGTTAATCCTATAACAATAATGACAGCAGTGAACATAAATAGATGTTAGTCCTATAACAATAATGACAGCAGTGAACATAAGTAGATGTTAATCCTATAACAATAATGACAGCAGTGAACATAAATAGATGTTAATCCTATAACAGTAATGACAGCAGTGAACATAAATAGATGTTAATCCAATAGAACTGAGATCAATAATAGGAAGGAGTATTGTCTTAAATAATTTAAATCTCACCTAACTATGAAGAGCAGGACATCATAAAAAAGATTTATTGGTGTTTGTCCTATTTTCTTGACTGTATATACAACATCAAGCTTTAGTTTAGGTGTTTGTCATATTTTCTTGACTTTGTCTATTACATTGAGCTTTAGTTTGATATTTGTCTTTTTTTTACTGCATCTAGAACATATAGCTTTACTTGGGGTTTGTCCTATTTTCTTGACAGTGTCTACAACATAGAGCTTTAGTTTTGTGTTTGTCGTATTTTCTTGACAGTGTTTACAACATCGAGCTTTAGAACCACATGAACCTCTTCCTGAGTTATCTCCCTTGGTAGCGAATTCCCTGAAGCCTCCACAGGAGATCGTTACAAGATGCGAGGCGCAGTGTGACAAGATAAAAGAGTTGTTTAAATTAGAAGTCGTTAAGAAGAAGGAGGACAAAACAGGAGAGAACATGTTTAAACAAAAGTTAGTACCTGTCCAGAATATAAGATAATCTTTGTAATTTATTTTGCTATGGTTATTGTAAACCAACCTTGAGCTGAGTGTCAAAACTGGCAAAAAGCCAATAATTAGGTACCTGCTCCAAATGCTACACTTTATATAAAAGAAAATGTATTATCATTGTTGAAATGTCAGTATCCATATCCTACATTAAGTCCACAACTCTTGTGTTCTCTTCATCTTTCCTTTCATTGAAAATTATATTGAACTGTAATACTAATAGAAAAATAATATTTCAGAGAAGACGAGGAGCCATCTTCCAAAAAGATTAAGTTAGATGATGATCTGGGAGGTGGTTTGGCAGGCATGACAAAGGCAGATGTCACAGAGGTGAGATATTTTATAGCTATGCAATGTATCTACAGATGTCACAGAGGTGAGATATTTTATAGCTATACAATGTATCAACAGAGGTGAGTACTTTATAGCTATACAATGTATCTACAGAGGTCATAGAGGTGAGTACTTTATAGCTGTACAATGTATCTACAGAGGTCACAGAGGTGAGTACTGTATAGCTATACAATGTATCTACAGATGTCACAGAGGTGAGATTGTATATTTTATAGCTATACAGTGTATCTACAGATGTCACAGAGGTGAGATATTATATAGCTGTACAATGTATCTACAGATGTCACAGAGGTGAGATATTATATAGCTATACAATGTATCTACAGTGTCTGATATTTATCTCATTACTTGTACCTTGTATGTTGACTTTTTTAGTGATAATATTGTGTGTTTCTGATGTGTATGAAATTTTAGGTTGGCACAGTGACCCCCGTGGATGATTTTATCACACTCATTAACCAGAGAGATGCTGATAGATTTGAGGAAGGTATGCTCAGTACTATTTATTTGATCTTCATCGGACACAATAAATGAATACTTAATACAGTTTTGATTACACTGACGTTCTTTCACAGTAAACTTTATAATTATTTCACTATATGTACTGCCATAGTTTACCAATTTCAGCCTCTAAACAGATGCAGAAGCGTGTGGAGCAGCTAGTGACGGATTCTTTCGGCCCCCAATTTTATGGAAAAGCATCAGACTGTTTAAAAGCCCTGCGCGAGCAGTCTATAAAGGTATATGTAGCTTCTTCATGTTATTGTAAAAATGTAAAAACTCTCAGGGGGTTCCAACCTTATCAGGTCGAATAAGGGTCTGGTTTGTTTTTATGATTATTAATAAAATGCACCTATTATATAAGCCTTTCAGATTTCAAGTTTTCAAGAATATTGATGTTGATTTCATGATACATTTCTAGCTTTTGGTAGAAACAGTCAAACCTCAATATCTCAGACAAGTCATATCCGGGGATACAGTGAAGTCCTGACTATTACTATAAATCATTTAAATATAAATCTCAGTTTTGATAATATCTCAAACCCTTAGATACCTTGACACATTTTAACAGTGCTGTTTCATTTTAGCTATAGAGATCTGACTACTGCAGTTGTACTTTCATATCTTTACTATTTTCAGAATTTAATGCAATTGTAGGTCATGCACTGTTTGACACATTGGGCATGGGCATGGAATAGTTTAAATTTGATGTATTTTGACAATCTTTAATTGAATTATAAGGGCAATAGCTTGTTTCAAGTATTAGCCTTTCTGGTGGTTAAATATGACCTAAAAGTTCAAAATGTTAATATTTATATACATACATGTATAATAGTAATTGTTTTAATTTTTTAGAAGTCGGAGCCCACTTTGTACAATAATTTTATGAAAAAGTTCAAGGACTTCCTGATAGAGAAAGGAAGACGAGATTTCTGGGAAATGATTGTGGATGGTAAAATTCATGTTTTTTTTTCATTACTAATGAAATAAATACAGCATACTAATGAATGTTGTAGGAGTCTCAATTGATTAAAGCTTCTTTTTCTCTAATTATTCTCAATTTGGTAAAGTATTGCACAGCAGGGTCTGTTGTTCCACTTTATTTAATTATTGTGTTGTGTCTTATAGTACATTATGTATGATTTGTGTACTGCAACATATGGATATGTTATTTAAAATGGGTCTGTTGTGGCATTTGGTTTTGTAATGGACTTATATTTGTAAGGGTGAAGTTTCACATAAAAAACATTCATAAACATAAACACATTTTTGCATATCAGCCCATAGACTTGATATTGAAAAAGGGAGATATGTAAAATTTCATGTACAAGAAAGACACTGCCTAGATGTAACAACAACACAGATGATGATGAAATATCTGAAAAACATTCTGTACTCTCATGTAATCAAGTTAAGGATGAAAGAAAGGTGTATAGGAATTTTCATAACTTTGACAGTGACAATAACTTAACTTGGCTTATGACCAATGTTATTCATGTGCAAATCTAGAAGGAAAGGAGGTCCAGATGATTGACAGAAAAATATTGACAAAAAAAATTTTTTTCAGAATTTTCTACTCAAGAATTAGAAGGCTACAAATTGTTTATATACAAGTGTCCTAATGCAGTGTATAAAATTCAGTTTGTTTTTCATACCATAGCTTTTTGGACCTCATGGAACCATATTTAAACGTTGAATAGAAGTACATGCACATGTATAAGAAAAATAGACCAAAAAAAAATGTTTATTGAGAAATTTTGTTTTTCAGAGAAGCAGGGGTTGATCACGAAGGCTGAAAGTGAAGACAGTGGAGTCACTCTAGAGGAAGCGAAGGCCTTCACCACAGAGGAGGAGGAGAAGAAGATGGAGTCACAGCCACCAGCTGAGGGCGATGATGCTGAAGATTTAGTGAGTTTATCAGATTTACAGAGCTGTCTATAATCATGTTTTACTGCAGTGAGTTTATCCGATTTACATAGCTGTTAACTATAATCATTTTTTAGTGCAGTGAGTTTATCAGGGTTTAAATTTAACAAATAGTAAGTTATTGTGAGAAAAGTTAACATGATGCAATTAAATGCAGTCTACTCTGGTTGGATGGGAGTAGGAATGTTACAATTGGGATTCAGATCCAAAATAGAAATTCAGTTCTTGTATTTAAAAAAGACAATTGATAATACATGTAATTCTCTTTGTATTTCAGTTGGACCAGATTTGAGATGTACAGATCTACAGTTTTAAGCATATTGGCAGCTTGTTGTGTTGTTTATACAGGACTTTTATAAATTAAGGACTGAAAACATATGGCAGTTTACTTACAATGTATCTTTTAGAAAAAGGAAAAACGACAACCAGACAATCTTTACTGTAGCTTATCCACTTCTGGTTTTGATCTTATAAGCTGTTTAATATGGACTACGTACATGTACATATATTGGTTCTCTTTAGTTTAAGAGAAACCTTGTACAGGTTGTAACAGATCTCTGTAGGACATAGAGTGGACAACGGACTTACGGCAGTCACTTCCTTATCAAACTTGTAATATGTAAACAAGGGTTGTGTCCCCTTCTACATGTTAGTATTGAAGCTGTAAAAATAAAAATAATGAAAAGTAAAAATAAAAAAAAAATACAGGCCTACTAAATTTTTAGTTTTGTTTGAATTCTAAGGCTGTCGAAAGTTAATTGTACATTTAACGTCACCCATACATGTAGGCTTCAGAGAAATTGGCACTTTGACAAAAAAAAATTGATAATTTTTAAGTTTGTAATCCACTTGGTTTTGACTCTTAGCAACTGAAAACTGTATTCCATAGGAATGGACAACATTTGGTCCCTGTAAGAGGTATATCTGAGATAAGTCTATCATTTATACTGAAGGATTTACTATAAATTATCATGAAACGTTAAGTCTACATGATGCACAAATACATGTATATATTTACAGGATTTTGATGCATGCATGCAAATGTGAATGAGTTAATACTCATTTGTTTTAAATTTTTGTTTAATTTTTTTTTTCTCCCTCCCTAGTAGGTTTTGAACTTTTTAGGTGAACGTAAAATGTAGAATTAATTTCAGCCAGCCTAATAGAGTTTATACTGATTACTTGTAAATGTATTCAGCCTCAGCTTGTCACTGTCATGTATTTATCGTATATATACTCACCTATAAGTCAGTTTTTTGGGAGTTAATCTTTGGTCCAAAACTCTTTTTCCAACTTATAGGTGAGTTATAAAAAGGTGGTATTTCATAGGGTCAATCCCTCTAATATAAGCATAAACAATACAACTGACAAATAGGCAGACCGACTTACAAGCGAGTATATACGGTAAGCTCTTTATTTTGCCACTAGGTAACGGTCCTACATTCATTTCAAATACTTTTGTCATTTTCAAATTCAGAGGAGATGTAGAAAATACATCCTTAGTAAAAGTTTCTTAATTCCAACAGAATTTTACTTGGATCATTTTACCTCAGCCAAAAGTGTTGGAAAGAGAAAAGTGTGATTTCCTATCGCCATCCTATGACCAGAATATGGAAGTTGATTCAGATTCATACCTTATATTGAAGAGTCTTGGTGAACGTCCCTAATTAAATGTCTAATACTGTTATATGTTGTGTGTATATATATATATATATATATATATAGATATAGATATATATATACAACAACATGAACATTGAAAAAATATTGTCAAATTTTCTTAATGCCCAGTCGGAGTGTCCCTTCCTCAGGACAAAGTAGATTTTTAAAAAAGTCATAAAATTAAGAAGTGTTTGTGACACACTGATGCCCCCGTACGGCAGCTTATGGCGAAGGTTAAAGTTTGTCAAATGCAAGTGAAACTCCAGGTCAAGAGATCAAAAATGTTGGTACCCAAAGAAAGGACTTGTCCCGAGGAATATGCCTGTGAAAAGTGAAAGCCCTAGCACCAACCGTTGAAAAGTTATGGCGAAGGTTGAAGTTTTTTAATAGTAAGTAAAATGGCAAGGTCAAGGTCAAATTGTGCCCAAAGTGATACACGATTGTGAAATGTGAAAGCCCTAGAACCAAACATTCAAATGTTATGGCCAAGGTTAAAATTTTTCAGAAGGTCAAACTCCAAGGTCAAGGTAAATGCCAAAATTGTTGGTATCCAAAGGAAGGTCTTGTTACAAGGAATATACATGTGAAGTATGAAAACCCTAACATTAACTGTTCAAACGTTGTGGCCAAGGTTAAAGTTTTTTAAAAGTAGGTCAAACTCCAAGGTCAATGGGTCAAAGTTGTTGGTATTCAAAGGAAGGTCTTGTCTCAAGAAATGTATATGTGAAGTATGAAAGCCCTAACACCAACTGTTCAAAAGTTATGGCCAAGGTTAAAATTTTCAAAAGTAGGTCAAACTCCAAGGTCAAAGGGTCAGGGTTGTTGGTATCTAAAGGAATTTCTTGTCACAAGGAATGCATATGTGAAGTATGAAAGGCCTAGAACCAACTGTTTAAAAGTTATGGCCAAGGTTAAAGTTTTTCAAAAGTAGGTCAAACTCTAGGGTCAAGGTCAAATGGTTAAAGATTTTGGTATCCAAGGATGGTTTTGTCACAAGAATACACATTTGAAGTATGAAAACAATAGCACTAACTAGTGATGTACCGATTAATCGATTAAATCGATTATCTAATTGAAATGACCCCCGATTATAGATAATTGATTATAATTTGAATAATCGATTAATCAAAATATTAATTAAAAGTAAATTATTCCTAGGATTTTTTTTTATTCATTCTTCTTTGAATATTACTAAATCCTAAGTAATAATCTAATAAATGAATCAAATGATGCAAAATACATCAAAAGTGTATTATAGAAATCACCCCAGAATTTTTCACCAATTTATTCTTCATTCAAAAATGAACAAATTTAATACTTGAAATAAATCAATTAAAGTGCATCCAATTATTCCAATAATCAATTATGAAAAAATTTCCGATTTCCCATCTCTAGCACTAACTGTTCAAAAGTTATGGCCAAGGTTAAAGTTTTTCAAAATTGAAGTAGGTCACACTCCAAGGTCAAAGTTGTTGGTATACAAAGGAAGGTCTTGTCTCAAGGAATACACATGTGAAATATGAAATCACTAGCACAAACTCTTCAAAAGTTATGGCCAAGGTTAAAGTTTTTCAACAGTAGGTCAAACTCCAAGGTCAAAGGGTCAAAATTGTTGGTATCCAAAGGAAAGTCTTGTCACAAGGAATACACTTGTGAAGTTTGAAAGCCCAAACACCAACGGTTTAAAAGTTATGGCCAAGGTTAAAGTCTCATAAAATTTTGCATAAGTAGGTCAAACTCCAAGGTCAAGGTCAAATATGATGGTACCCAAAGAAAGGTATTGTCACAAAGATTACACATGTGAAGTATTAAGCCATGGCTCCAACCAATCAAAAGTTATGGGCAAGGTTAAAGTTTTTGTGGACAAACAGACTGACGAAGAGGGCAAAAACTATATGCCCCCGAATCTTCGATTATGGGGGCATGAAAACAAAACAGATGAAAACAAAAACATCTAGCACTACAAATATAGGTTAGTAGTTTAGTTGTAGTGTTAGATGTTTTTGTTTTCATCTGTTTTGTTTTTTATGACTTTTAAAAATCTTGTATGTACTGAGGAAGGGACAGGGCATCCCGAAAATTTATGTATATATATCGTATAATATATGTACACAGCACAGTGTCTCTATAAGTCAAAAGTATCTTGCCAAGATACCTCAGATGTGTTCCATGTAGCAGTGTGATATGCCGCAAGATTTGTAAAAGAATCTATAATAAAACTAATTTTTTTTTCAAAGCAACAAATTAAATCATTAGTTGTCATCTCCCAATATATATATATATATATATATATATATATATATATATATATATATATATATATATATATATATATATATATATATATATATATATATATATATATGTATGTATATTATATATCTTGCATTCAAATGTATTGTTATGAAATTGTATAAAAGTTGCAAGTGGGTTCCCTATAAGTTCTTACCGTACATGCTTTAAATTGCAAAAAAAATAACAACAAAAAAAAAAAAGAAAAAAAAGGTCAGCATTGTGGCCTATGTTTTCTTTTAACAAGGTGTGGCTTAAATATATATTTTGTTGAATATGTGCAGGAACACTGTGAATGTCTCAACTAGTGTAGTTTGATTTAAAGATTTGCGAACGAATGTGTCTTTGTGCGACTTGCGACAATTGAACGCACCTTTCAGTGAAGAGCAAGTGGTTTCGAGTTATAATGGAAGGTAGTATCTTTTTATCCCTTTACAATATCTAAATATACTGAGCATAAAATGAGTTTATATATCTTGCTAAAAAAACACTGATAAGACAGAAGATAGTCAATTTCAAAAAATAAATGAATAAAGATAACAGCGATTCCATTTCTAATAATCTTGGTAAAACATAGGCATGATATGCGTGCAGGGTTTGGGCATTTGTGATTATTTGGTCATTATCTTATAAATATTGGCGGTTAGCATGTATTCTATGCCACTTAAGTTCCCACGTTTCATGTCTAAAATATTCTTGGTGTGTTAAATTGAAAGCAAATCGCCAAATAAAAGAATATATACATATACAAATTGGTGCCCAATGTGATAGCCCATTTGGGATATAATAATCCCACATGAAATATATATTACAGTGTAAAACGATTAAATGATTATATCTGTTATTTTTGTTAATCTGCAAAAGTTGTATACGTTGAATGTGACAACTTTTGACAATCAATTTTTGGTATAATAACCCTACAGTTTGTGAGACTGATTATCCTCAAGAAGTTTTTAATCTTCTTTTGAATTGGTTTCCTAAAATGTAGGATGCAGACATTTATGTATTTTTAGACCTTTTCCTTCTATTGCCTGTACCTTAATGCTCATGTGGACCCTGAATTACAGAGCTGCCAACCTTTATAAGTGTGGCGCAAGACATACAGATTGAGCGTCTAGAGTAATTAATGCCTTACGATATCTGCATTTATTCTTCGGATTTCCCTTTTTCTCAATTAAAAGATTGATTAGGTACAGAACTGTAGCATTATGGTTTTATTTTTTAGTCTTTGACCATAATGCAACAGATCCCGTAATGCAAATAAGGTGCAATTTACGGTGCAAGATTTTCTGCGCACAGTTGTGGAGAATTTCTCCCCTTTCCAGCATTAGTCAATCAACATGATCAACTACCTTTCACTCCCTAATTCTAGACATATTTTCAGCCATAAAACTGCATATTCTATCCACCACCTAACCCTTTACAATAGTCTCTACAGACCAATAAACGCACTTGTTTTGAATTTTCTGCCATCTGTCCGACACAAATTCAAAACAAGTTAATTGGTCTGTAGAGACAACTATAAAGGGTTAGGAGGTGGATAAAATATACAGATTGGTTAAAAAATATATCTGGAATTTAAGGCATTTAAAAATTAAAAATTTTACAGGTATTTTATAAAGGATATAGTGAGAAAAATGGGTACATATGCATTTCACTACAAAGGGAAATAACTCTTGCAAATAGAAATAGTGAGAAATACTGTTCACACAAAGAAAACCTGGTTTGATTTGACATTGGCTGCTTTCCACTTGTTCATTTTATGATGTTGGCAGCTCTGGAATTAGAATAAAACATGAGTATATCTTATTTTGAATGTGGATTTACAATCAATAATTAATGTTATTTAGCTAAATGAAATATCTTAATTTTTTTGCACTGTAAATAATTTGTATCCATTTTGAGATATTATATTCAAAGTGAGCTTTTATACCCCATTTGGCCAATTGGTTTCAGCAAAATGATTGATGTTTTATCTCTTCATGTAGTACACTGTAATACATGATGTAATTTCAAAATGGAGATGTGGGTTTATTTTACAGTTATTTAACTGTGTGTTCATTAAAATCTCTGTAAAAAAAATTAAATTTTCCAATTGGAAGACAAAATAATGGAAAATGGGTTAATGTGTCAGGTTTATTTCTTTTCCCTGAAAGGTAGAGCCACTGAGAGGAACAATGTTAGCTTGCATATCTTACCAAAATTGTCCTGCTTGTATGAAATCTCTCTCAGCAAGCTTCCAGATGGATAGATTTGGTTGGTGAGTTGTCATGGAAGCCATTGGTCTGATGTTATATATCACATTTGTGAGAAATGGTTCTCCCAAATTCCAACCCATATATGCCTCTCTCAAAAGCATGGAAGCAGAGTCAACCGAGTTCTATGATTCTACTGATGGTGATGGGTAGATTGTGTATGTCTGCCTTTACGATCTTCTGATCATGTGGACTTGCCTGGTCTGCTTTGTGTCTTTGAGGGGGTGGATTGTTGATATAACCTTGGGCCATGACAATAAACAACAAAGTCAGTGACACACATTTGGTGACACAATTTAGACATTTATGCTACAGGGGCTGGTAGCATACAATGCTTGATTTTTCGTGATCCCTATATATACAAAAAAGGAACTTTTTGTATATATATATATATATCGGGATCTTGAAAATCCAGCATTGTATATTACTGGCCTCTGCGGTTTATGCTGTGCTGGGACAGTTTAAATCAGACTTCTGTGCCTGTACTGAAGTTTGCTGATTGTACCACCTGAGTTTACAGACAAGCACTCATTACTATTGGTTGTAAACTAAACAGGTATAGGACAGGTCAGTTAGCTGAATACAGGGCAGAATCAGATTTTATTCTGTCACCAGATTTGGCGTGGCAGAATGTCTGAATTGTGGCGACTGCCTAGATCTTTGTTGCTTATACACTGAACAAAATAATATTTATAAGTTATTACTTAACGATGTACAAAACTGTCTAAACTTTCATGATGCTTTCAAATTTACATTAGCTTTTAAATTATTGGAATTTGTATAGCAAATATAATGTACATTACAATCTGTTTAGAAAAAAATAAAATCTTATGATCAATTGATCATATGAAAGGAAATGAAAGATTTTTTATTAGTCTCGTCACTTTTCTGAACCAATTTTACAGGACCATCAACAGCAGCAGGAGCACCACAGCCCCCCACAGGGCTGGGGGAAATCCAATGTGAACCCCCCATATTAGGAGCAGGGGATATCAAATGTGAACCCCCCACAGTAGGAATGGGGGACAACCAAGGCAACCCCTCCGTTGTAGAAGTTAGGAGTGTCAGTAATGTTCCTCTACCTCGCACACTTACAAACAAACACCCAGTCATGTACCTAAATGAATTAAGGAGAAATATGACGTATCAGCTAGTGGCTGAACAGGAGGTAGACAAAGAGAAGCTGTACTCAATGTCTGTTCAGGTAGATGGACAAACCTTCACAGGGACAGCCAAGAGCAAGAAACTCGCTAAGATGGAAGCAGCTAGACAGGCTCTGGAGACTTTGTTTAATGCTGTATATGTCCCAGGTACTGTTGGCATATTAGTATTAGATGCAGTATTTATTTGAGGTGATATTGGCTGACGTCATGATGGCCTAATGCTGTACACGTCCCAGGTAATAATTACATTTTTTCTCCCCACAGATTTAGAAAGTCAAGTGGACCAGAAAGAGGATACAGCAGCAGTTCCAGAGGTCAAAGGTCAGTAGGTTGTTTTAAATGACATTTACACAGGTTCAATTCCTGACAAGGTCCCAGCAGAGAAAAGGAGCAATATTGACAAGATATATTGCATACTGAGTGCTATCTGCAATGATAACATGCATTATTCAAAACAGTAACAATCAATCAACATTATTTTCAGTGGATTGTTTCTCTTTAAAAAAAATGAATGTATGTTATTGATATCATATGGCATATCATATGGATGTTAATGAACTTGGAGATCATGCTACACAGTCTTTTGGTTTAAAATTAGCAGTGTCTGTGTTGTAGTTTTAACAAGTCATAATCATTGTTTCATATTAGAATTTATTTTGTTATTGAGAAATGATGACAGAGTGCCAGGTGATTTAAATGAAATAATTGAGGGTTTTTTGTTTTATTTTCTTATCATACTTTAAACGAACATCAGACTGAATTTTGGCAAGTATCAGATCAGTACATTTCAAGAAGATTGTACAATTTTCTCACATTGCCTTTAACACTTCTATTTGAAAGGAACCCAAAGAAAAATGTTTCTCCATTTAATGAATATGAGAGCTCAAAGTATTTAATTTTGACCCTCACAAACCAGGAAGGGACCCTTACAAGGGGTTAAATTATCCAAAGATTGAATAAGTCTTGTTTTTGCAACAGAAATTTTGTCCATTGTTATGCTCCAACTTCAGCCTGTTCATTGATTACAGGGGGAGGGAAGGGGTATCCAGAGGACTCTTGTTATTGTTGGGGTGAGCTGTTGGGTTTCTGGTTTGTTCATCATGTTCATTGATTTGTTTATTTTGTGTTGACAACTTGATTGCCTGGTAAATGCCTACATGAGTGTTTTCAAGGTTGTAAGGCCTTAGTAATGATGTACTGATACTTGTATCAGTAGTAGATGCAGATATCATTGATTTTTGTTTTGTGTACTTTGATATCATTGTCTGCAATAACTGTTATTTCATTTTCAAGGAATGCCTTTAAAGATAAAGACAACAATATAAAAATAATTTGTTTGATGTACTCCAACTGACCCATCAAAATCTGCCTTACTCAATCATTTTTTTCAGTACTTTGAATTTTATTTATTTACCTTTTTTGTTTGAAGGGAGAAATATAGATTGTCCATATCATTTTTAAAGTTATAAGGTTTTTATAATTTTCTTAGACACATTTACATCTGAAGGTTTTATAGTAATAAGTATTAAATTTTTCTAACTGTCCCATATATAATGGAACCATCATTATTTGTAAGTCTGTGATTTTTATGATGCTTATCTATATATTAAGATTTAAAAAACCAAACAAACAAACAAAAACTACCTACCTATTCACCTTGAAAAATGTGGGCCGGAGTACATTAAACAAAAACTTTTTAAATGATGGCCTAATGATTTTCTTAACATTTATACACACCATTGTGATTAAGGAACTCCGTATATAACTTTCCCCTCTGGATACTGGTAATATTAAGTTACTGCAATCACACCTATAAAACAAGACTTGACGCCTATCTAATCAGTTCTCCAAGATCATCAGTTCCCTTCATTATGGAAGTCCTGACAGTGATGGATTAGCTGAACCCCGAGCCAGAACTGACCCTGGCTTGTCTACTAGAGCTCCGCTGTGAATACATTATGAAATCTTCCTCCCTTTTCTACGGGAATTCTCACCCTGCTGTACCTGATGGGTTCATTTTGTACATGATGGATGAGTATTGACTTGCTAAGAGAACTCTATAATGAGCGGGAAATGGGAGAGATCACTAAATCATTTATATTCATTTATAAATCAATCAGCTACAGACACCCAGCAGCTGAATTCTTCTACAGATTGATGGACTCCTTTACACTTCTGTCTACTGTATTCACCCCCAGTAAGTGTCCCTGGCCTTGTTAGGAACCACCATAGAGCTGATGTTTTTATAATCGCAGATTGGGGGGGGGGGGGAATATAGTTTTGGTCTGTCCATCCATCTGTCTGTTTGTCTTTTAATCTGTTTTTCTGCAAAAAAATTTAACCTTGCCCATTACTTTTGAATGGTGGTGCTAGGGCTCTCATATTTCACTTATGTATACTTTGTTACAGGACCTTTCCTTGGTACCAACATTTTTTACCTCATGACCTTGATATTGGAGTATGACCTTACTTTTGAAACTTTAACCTTGGCTTGGCTTGGCTTCATTGAAGAATATTCACATATTTTCCTTGATTAGACTCTTTGTAAACAAGATATTTTTTGCTAGTTTATGCTTTGAATACTTATCATTGAAGAATATTGAATTTCACATATTTTCCTTGATTAGACTTTCCATAAAGAAGATAATTTCTCTGTTAGTTTGTGAAATATGAAGATAACAAACAGTAATCAAGCTCAAAAGTTCATTGAAACTAAACAAATTTGGAGTCTAGCAAACAAGGACCTCTAAAAACATCAGAGGTGGGATCAGGTCCCATGGAGGAGTAAGCATTCCCAGCTGTTGTGTGCTCCTTGTCATGATCAGGCAAACAGAAAAATCTGTAGACAATTTAGTGTGAAAATAATGGCCTTAAAATTTGTATGAAAAACATTGATCATCAACATTTGACTTTTTGATAGATTGTATTTGCTGACAAGGTCATTGTATCGACCATTGAACTTACGAATTGTTGACTTTAAACAAGACTTCTTGTTTCATCAACTTATTTGTCAGTAGCTTGCCTCATTTTAGAAATTGTTCATACTAGACATGCTCTTAGCTATTGAATCAACTGGGAGACATTAACTCCATATACAGGTGATAATAGTATATTGCTACATAAAGGGAGGTTGAAGACAGAAAAGTTGAAGTCATAATTTTGTTGTTAGGTTATCATTAATGTTTTTTTTCCTAGTAAAATATCCAAAAATAAAAGAGAGTGGTATCTCTTATTTCGAGTTCAAAGGAGTATATCAAACATAGGAATGAATATTGTTAATTGATAAAACCTCGATATATCTAAACGTTGAATTGGTATGCCACAGCAAGAGACTTCTTCTTTTAATGTAGAAATTTCTGAATAAATTCTGCCCCATATGAATATATAAATAGGTCTGCTAATATCAGTGTGCAATTAGTACCCATGGGAATTCCAACAGACAGTTGGAAGACTCGATCTCAGAAAACTACATACAGTTGAACTTCGGTATCTCAAACACTGATATCTCCATGGATATGTCGAAGTGATTTGGAAGTCACAACCCCTTATTCTTTAAATATTTTACCCTGGATATCTTGAATCCTTGGATATCTCGGAGTTTTTTGTTGATCCAATCGAGTTCGAGATAATGCGATTTGTTTGTAGATATTGTCAATCAGAAACTCAAGCTTCTTTTTAATATCAACTTAAAAGTACTTGTGTGTACAATCAGAATGTTTTTTAACAAAATAATTTTGCAAATGACAAGATAAGTAAATTTACAAGTTCCATTTTTTTTTTATAAAGCAGCTGTCTATGATGCCAAAAAGCCTGCATAGACTTCAAGTTGTTGTGGGGAATGGTTGTATAAAGTGTTGAAAAATCGTACAGTTTGATGATGTTGATTCTGATAAAATTTGTTAAAATTTTCAAATTTTCTAACAGTTCCTTGGAGTTTTTTTTTAAAAGTATCCACATCTGATTTACACCACTTTTCAAATATATTGTTGTACAGTACTCCTGAAGTTTTCTCCTTCACTGCTGTTAATATTTTAGTGGGGAGTAAAGAAAGAGGCTTGGTAGAAAATGTACTTGAACCTGCTCTGTATCTTTGTTAGGACTTTTAGGTAGGAATCCAGTATAGATATATTAATTCAAATTCAATTTGATTGCTGGGAATACTACAAATATTTAAAATTTGACATCTGATTTTGAAGAATTTCCTCCATAGAAAGGGAGCTATGAGTGTAAGTTTGATTACCGTTGAATACATTCAAAATATATAATTATGCATTAAATACCTTAAATACTTATCATTGAAGAATATTCACATTATTTTTATTAGAATTTTTGTGTCAAGAAGATAATTCTTTTTTTTTTTTTGCATTACAAAAAGCAACTTCACTTTACATTGAATTTTCAATGTCAGAATGTAGCAAACTACTTGGGGTGGGGTACAGGGCATTTAATTGAATGAGCAAGTTATTGTGTGATTTAGATTTGAATTTTATTTAGGATAGATAATATGTGTAATAATATTTTCACTTATTTTGGACAATTAATTTGAAAAAAAATGTATTCCACTTATCATCTTTTGATGTTGTTGATGAAATAACAATTTAGAAAATCCTAAACAGTTCAGATTGCTAATATCTTTTTTTCCCCCAAACTATAAGAAAATAAGACATTAACCGACTGTCCTCTGTTAAACTATTGCTGACAGCTCTCTCAGTCAGTTTAATATATATCTTTACTCATCATATATATCTACCAATAGGTAAGAAATACTTTAAAAAATCATGAACATTTTATTAGAAAAGATGGGTTTATTTTTCTTTTCAAGCCCCCCCCCCCCCCCATTTTTTATATTCACTTTTATGTCCATTCAGACTTCCATTTGATAGAAATATGGATACAGAAAGGTCAGGCCATTGACCGTAAAGGCCCTCTAATAATTGTCAGAATAATCCTCTTATAACCGTGGATTAAGAACCATTGGTCCACCCTCTAAAGATTAGACAGGTTTACTAAGTTTAAACATCCGAGTTTTTCTGTATAGTTTCTGGTAGTTGATAGGCTGCTATGCCTGAGAGCACACACTCAGTGGCTGATCAGAATCGAGTTAGCGATAGATTCCTTTGTTTTGATCGGAACTTTACCCAGTCTTCTATACTTGGCCTTTGTAGCAGTGGTAATTAATGTTATCTCTTCTGTCTGAACGTGAGGTATGTCTTTATGTTTTTATTTTATTGGGTTATCTTATTTAATTTTTTTCTAGTTTGTTTGCTCAGTTTTCTTGTTGCCATTTTTATCAATTGTAAATTATGCCAAAGTTGCAAGAA